AAAAAACCTACAGCAAAATTATGGTTTTTATAAGATAAAGATGACCTTTCCTCATCCCTAATTTTCATACTGGGACTGAATAATCAGTTTTCTCACATTTGAGATGGACTATTATTTTTAGTCTTCAAGGATAATGCATTCTGTATGCTGTAGTTCTATTAATGTATTCTTGCAAAGGCACTTCTTTTTGTTACTGTTACAAGTAGCCAGCAAGTTGGTTCTGACACCTATGCTGCAAAAGTAGGCCCACTCCCCAGGGTTTCTTAGTTGTTAAGTGGCAAGGAGGCAGATTATGGACCTTTCTTCTGCGGTTCCTCTGGGTGAGTTCCAAGAGTCAAGCTATAGGTTACTAGTTGAGTGCAAACTGTTAGCACCACCTAGGAGCTTTGTTGTTGTTGTTAAGTGTCATTGAGTCGATTCTGACTCATAGTGACCTTGTAGTATGTTCAAATCCTCCAAGGAGCAGCTAGTGGGTTTGAACCACCGACTTTGTGGTTTGAAGTCCAATGTTGATCCTATAGCGCCACACCAGGATTCATGCACATATTTATACATGTGTGTTTGTGAATGATATATGTATGTACATATATATTCCACTGAAAGGGCCTACGAGCAATGACCTATCATATCATGAAGATACCTAGAACCCAAATCTAAAAAGGACACATGGCTTCTTAGTAAAATGACTGATTCCTAGACTAGGCTAAGGACCTTAGATGTTGTAAAATCTTTTGGAATTATGAAAATAACCTTTCATTCTATAAGAGTAAGTAATAATTAACCTACTGTGAACCCGGGTGGAGACCTGGTCAGCCAGGAGTGAGGCAAGACCTGGGGACTCATGGGCTCAGAGTCAGTGACACATCCACAGAGGACTAGAGTGGAGAGCGAAGTGACCAGCTGATAAGAAGAGGGCAGACAGACACAAGAACACCCACACCTGCAGATGATACCCACTTGACATGGCTTCAATGATCGGATGGAACAGAGTTCAACCCGAAGCAGAAAGAAGAGGAAAAAAGCGTCATCTGATACAATTCGATAAACATAACCTACACCTATAAATGCAGTAGCGCAAAAGAGGAAACAAGTCCCTGCTGCAAGAACTATTCCCACCC